GTTCCTCCATACAAAGGGAAGTCTGTGAAGAGCTGGCAGATGTGGGACAGGGAATTGTTATTTTTGGGAATTACCAATGTGCTATGGCACAATCCTGTGTTGTGAAAGCTAGAATGAGAAGGAACTTTTCCACTTCAACCACTTGTTATTTAGCTGAGTCATTATATTTATTTCTAGAGCCTATTTATTAAAGGTTTGTCTCTGGCATTGTCAGAACACGGTTTTTCAAAGTTGGATTACTTCCTGTAGGATAGTGGCTCTGACTGCAAGTTAAAAACAGCTATTGAAATTTCAGGTTCCACCCAGCTTAAACTAGCTCCAGCAAAGTCACCTTCACAGTGAGGGCAATGCCAAACAATGTACTTACGAAATGAAGAGAAGCAGTCTGCTCATCTTAGAACAGGATGTTTGACAATTGATCTCCCTGTCAGCATATTTGGGTGTAAACCATTACTGGCCTCATTAATTTGCCTTGTGCAGTCACTTTGCTCACTGACTGTCCTCGTAACCATGTAAGGTCTTGAACCTGGGCCTTCTGGCCCAGATGTAGGGAGAGACACCACCAGTATTCCATAAATACTCAGACATTATTTGGAACAGGCAGCCCCAAGTTGAGCTCAGTGCGGTCCGGAGGTGAGGCCCGACACTGTCTGCTTTGAAGGATTGTTATGCTGAACTTTTAATTTATTCTTCTAATTTGTTTCTAAGATTTTGCAGCTAGGTACCTTGTACTTAAGGTGGCACGAAGGACTGTAATGCTGAACTTTTTATTTCTTTATTTCTCTGTACATAAGATGGCACCGTAATTGGCTACTTTGTAATCTTTTCACTGTACTCAAGTGAGTACATCTTAGAATAAACCTAATTCTCATTCTTAAACTGCCTTACAATCACAGCAGCAAGATTCCGCAAACAACCATCTTCATTCTGATTAGATCATTTCTTTTATTTGTTCATAGGCTGATTGTGTTACGGCATCCCATCTCTTATTGCTTTTAAGAAGGTGTAGTGAGTCACAGCTTTGAGCCAAAAGTAGTCCTTGTGTTATTGGTATGTCTACAGTGTTGTTAGGGAGGGTCATCCAGGGTTTTGACCCAGTGTGAAGGAATGATGTTATAGCATCAAATCGGTGATGAGAATATTGTATTTTGAAAGATATTGTTAAACTTAGAAAATTACTTGAGAAATTGCTTCTATTGCAACTAATATGGTGTGATGTTGAGTTTAATAAGGACTTAAAAATGGGATATGATGTCACTAATTACAAAGCAAAAGCCTATGCAAATAGCAAAATGCCTGCTTGGATTGGGCCAGAGGGCTAGCATGTACAAATAGCTCTTCTACCACCTCACTTCTCAGTGGTCAGGTCTTCTCAACTTCTGGAATTCCTCAAATATTCTTGACAGGAGGCTTCCTTAACAGTTCTCTTCTGCTGCCGTCTGCAGTAAATCCTCCCAAAGTCATTCCCTTTATACCCTTTTCAGGGATGGATGCCTGGATTGATTATTGATGAGGCCCTTTAATCTGAAGACGATATAGGTTATTTCAAAATAATATATCCATATTACCCAAAGTCTTCCACCTCTGATGTCATTCTACCCTTCCTTAGGCCTTTCCCAAGTATTCTGGTCACATTCTTATCTCATTTTGTATCAACTCTTGAGCTGTCTGTCCCATGCCAGCTTAACGCTGCTTTGTGGTACTTGTTATCCTTTGCAGTAATGGCTGTTTATTTAAATTAGCCAACCGTATCTTAGAATAATGATTTGTCTAGCCTGGTTTAAGTGACAGTGCAATATTAAACAACATCTACAAATCCTGTTGCTAATTGCTAAACAGTTCTTTCAGTCATGCTGTGAGATCTTGTTGAGGCACCTGAGAGAGCAGAGGCTTCAGTTTAATGTCTGGTTCAAAAAACAGCACTTGGAATGCCAGTCTAGATTATGTTTTCAAGTTTCGAGGTGGACTTGAAACCACAAAGCTCTGACTCAGAGGCGAAAGTGCTACCAAGTTAACCACTGCCGACATGTCTGGAATTCCTTCTGCCTCCTAAGTGGAAACAAGATAAACACATGTTGGTGAAAGGAATAGAAGGATATATTGGTGGAGTGGAGGAGGTTCATATAGATACAGTAGACATGCTATATATAACTGGATGTTCTTTCATTAAGCACATTCCTAAACACATTTTTGATCAAGCTCCTGTTTGGTCAGTTTCCTGATTACACTTGCGTGGAGTGCTTTGCAACAGTTCTGTACATTAAAAATGCTGCAAAACTGCATGGTCTTGAGCAGGCTCTTTAATTTGCTATGTTGATGCTCAATTAATGCATTTCCTTTGATCACCAGGAAAAATTAATCACAATTATTCAGTACAGAGGGAGTCTATGCGTGGTCTTCCACACAGAGCAGAACATAATCTGTCGCTGAAAAATCTATGAGCAACTGATCAGCACAGTGCATTGATTCCCTCTTGAAGTTGTCTTTTTTCAACTTGATTTCAATGAGCCATAACAGAATAGCGCTCTGTTGAGAATTTGCAGTAAATGCTCTTGCATCTTGGTACTCGCATTGACTAGAAGTGCTTGTTGAATCCCTTGGAAGATATTAATCTTGTGTCAGTTTCTTTTCCTTACTCTGTCTTAACCCATGAACTGGGGCTGTTGATGTACAATGTTAGACCCAATCTTGGCTTTGCCCCAACTTTGTCCTGTAAATTGTTCACTGCCAACATTTTTGTTTAAGTTGATGTCAACAAACTCTGCACAGACAGGGCTTGGAATCGAGGACATGGTTGAGAAAATGACTATACCCGTTTCAGGTATAACAGCATAGGGCCTGAGCATAAGGCACTGTTAAATACAGGAGACAGTTGATGATACTTTCAACTGAGTGATAGTCAGTCTCTAATAAACAAAATAGCCAAAGAACTGTGGATGCCGGAAATCACAAAACTAGAAATTACTTGTAAAACTCAGCTGGTCTGACAGCATCTTTGGAGAGAAAGCAGAGTTAGTGTTTCGGGTCAGTCTGGGGCAGATTAGAGTTGCAGGTATGAGATGAAGCAGAATTTTATGTTTGCGACCTCTGGGACTAACACAATGGATGGAATAATCTCCAGTGCAACCTCAAGGTAATGAAATCTATTGGGATGGCTAGGCATGCATCAATGGGAGCCAGGTTGTCTGGAAGTCTCGTGACTGTCTTGCAGAGTTGTGTAAGAATTTTCCAGTTATCTATGATGTTGGCCTCTGCACAGTGTTCCTTCTTTTTGCGGGAGTTGCACTGTTACTGGTTTGGTCATTGGGTGAATGAGCTTACACTGCGGCGTGGATAGAATGAGCATCGAGGAGCTGATGGCTTCTTTGAGCCTTTTTGTATGTTCTTGCCTCTGAAGCTGAATTAGCCATTTGACCATCACTTGAGGGATGCCTTTCCAGACCATCACTGTTAAATCTCTGTTTCTGTCCTTGTAGTCGTGAAGATTTTCAACGGATCCCAGAGCTGGCTATTAACCCACTTGGAGACAGGATAATCAACGCTTTCTTCCCTGAAGGGTAAGCAGTGAATCAGTATGTGTTTCCATAATTAATTGTTGAGCATCTTTCACATAGCTAGAGGGAATTGGAAGAAGGGGAGTGGCAGAAAACTGAACAGTGTTGTGGCCTATAGAGAAGTTATAGCAAGGCACAGAGAAAGGACATCAAGTACAACACTCGATTGATTCCTGAGGGTATTTCTTCTATGGAAAGGTAGGCCAGCTCAGGCTTGTACCTATTACAGTTTAGAAGAACGAGGGCCAATCTTACTGATAAATGTAATACTTAGGGAACTTGATAGAATGGACACTGAAAGTATGTGGAAGAGACTGTAATGAGGGGACTCTTGCAACAAAATATGATGTCTCCCATTTAAGACAGATGAGACTTGTTTTTGTTACAGATGGTAAGCCTGAAATTCTCTTCCCCAGAGGTCATTCCCCAGGGGACGGGGTTATTGAATATTTGTGAGACAGCAGTAGATAGATTCTTCATTAACCAGCGAGCCCATGGTTATCAAGGGCTAGCCGGGAAAATGTAGATGAGGCCGTAATTAAATCTACTATGAACATATTGAATGCCTATTTCCACCTGTGTAACGTCACCCGCCTTTGATCAAGTTCACTTTTAGGTTACTGATTCATAGTTTCTGTTGTATAATTTCAATCTTTGCAATTGATAAGAAAACAATATTTTCCAATCAAATTGACAGCACCAGGGGTCGTTCCCCCTCATCACCACCTTAGGGGGAGCAGGTTGCCCCTAGTTTAAAACTGTGAGATCAGGACAAATTTCAGATAGAGGGGGTTTGGCAGGGTAGAACATAGGGGAAGTGTTTTCACTTGTGCGAGACAGGATAGTTATAGTCATGAGCATTAAATGAAACCAATGCATTTCAGAGAAGTCACAAGAAACTTCTTCATTCCGAATAGTTGGGATGCGATGCTGGTTACCATGAGGAATCGTTGTTACGATTAGTATAGCCATATTTGAGATGAAGCTAGATAAGTATGTGATGGAAAGTAATAGAACAATCTGCTGATTGAATAATGTGAAGTTGTGATCGATACTTAGCAGTACCCCCTTATCCTGCTGCCAAGTATGTATCTTTGTTTTCACCCTTTCTCCCCACCAGCTTCCACATTCATGAGGTCATCTGCCATTACCAACACCAATTTGGTCTCAGCACCAAACATCAAGCCCAATCTGTGCTTTCCAGAGAGCTGCTCCATCATGGGGCTTAAAAGCATTCAATCCCATTTGTCCAGCAACTTAGTGTGCAGGCATCGACAATCTGGCACTTACCCTGACACACCCCGACAACATCCCAAAGAACGCAGACACCCATGTGAGGGGCCTGTATGTCCAGATGGGATTAATTTGTAAACTCTCAGGCCACCCATGTCAGGTGGGCTTTGCTTTAACTTGTGTAAAGCGATTCTTCTGAGCAGGTCTTGTAGCCTTTGGGTTTTTGGGTGATATTAAGTCGTGCTGGCTCTGCACTGTGCTGTGATCATTATGACCAGTTACTACAGCGATGCTGGACCACATTTCTGCTCAGCTTTGGATTTTTCTTTCCATTTGTGCTCAGCGAAGACCAGGTCAATTTCCGGGGCTTTATGCGGACTCTCGCTCATTTCCGACCCATTGAGGAGAGTGACAAAAACAAAGACCCTCGTGTTCCTGAGCCACTCAATAGCAGGAACAACAAGCTGCTTTGTAAGTACCTGATTCTTTTGGTTAATGGTGGTTACTGTACTTGGCTTAGACAAGGGACGTTGAGTAGTTGTTGTTCAATGTGTAAATGAATTGCCCAGTGTGACTCTTGAGTTTGTACATAGCAAGAGCTTACTTCCTTGTGCTGGGTGAACTTACCAGGGCAGTGACACAGGGGGTTGGGAGGGGAGCCTACATGGAGATTGGGCCAAGGTATCTGTCATGATGCTGTAGAAGCAGAAGGTAAGTACCATCTTTGCATAGGTTTGGATGGCCTACCAATTCAGACTGCTGTACTCAGCAGAGGTTAACGTAACATCAACAGCAAAATGACACACTCTCCTCTGTGTGGCACAGAGCAAAATATTTCCCCAGGCAGAAATTGCCCAACAACCAGTTACTATCTCATTCAACATCAGTGCTCAAAATGTGGAACTCTGAAACAGTCTGAAACTGTGAAACTACCCTCCCATCCTGGCCCTTTGCTGACAGGATTACACTCCCACCCTTGCTGGCCACCATTGACAGGACCATGTTTCCACCCACCACCTCCACCCATAAGAGGATCACCCCAATGAATGTCATCCTTGAATAGTGTGTGTTCTCTGTCCATACAGGATGCTTCAGGTTGCCTCTGATCTGCTGATGTAAAAGTGAGAAGGAACACATAGTAGGTCTACCAGTGTATCAAAGGATCTGCCTCTGTCTCCTCAGACACTGATTTACAATTTATATGTTATGTGGGTGGAGACAAAGGGAAAGAGGAATGTGGGTGATTGAATGGACAGAGGGAGTCAGCAAGCTGTTTTGAGAACAAAGGAATTGGAATGGATCAAAGAAGAGAAGAAAAGAGACTTTCAGAAAGAGAGAGTGCGAGATGAGTTCAGTGACACTTGCAATGCTTCACTCTCTGCTGCCTGCTGTCCTCTGATAATGCATTTTTGCACAATAATCCTTCCTCTTCTGTTTCAGTTGCTTTCAGACTATATGATCTTGACAAGGATGACAAGATTTCACGTGAAGAGCTCCTGCAGGTACTGAGTGCATCCTCCTACGGAGCTGTGTTAAACTGAACTAACTTGGAGTGGTCAGCAAAGAAGTGATGAGCCCAGTGTGTGAGCACTCATTCATGGTCCCGGTCAGGTTTATGTGTTCTATCGCATTTCGCTCAAGCTTTGGCTATAAAGTGGCTTGGGATATCTATGAAGTAGAAGGAGATGGTGGTGCAGTAGCAATGTTGTTAGACTAGTAATCCAGAGGCCCAGGTTAACGCTCTGAGGGCACAGGTTCGAATCCTACTATGGCGGCTTGTGGAATTTAAATTCAGTTCATAAAATGAATAATGAATTCATTGGTCTGGACTTGAAAGTTAGTCCATGGTGACAAATACTTGGTGATTGTAGTAAAAATCATCTGGTTCACTAATGGGGTCACAGATGTACAGCACAGAAACAGACCCTTCAGTCCAACTCGTCCATGTTGATCAGATATCCTAGATAAATCTAGTCCCATTTGCCAGCATTTGGTCCATATCCTTCTTATTCATATATCCATCCAGATGTCTTATAAATGTAATTGTACCAGTCTCTACCACTTCGTCTGGTAGCTCATTCCATACACACACCACCCTCTGTCTTTTAGGAAGTAAATCTTCTATCCCTAACTGGTCTGGCCTATTTGTGATTTCACTCTGATAGAAAAGTGGTCAGGAGCAGATAATTTAGTGATTGATAGAGGGATTAATATTTGCCAAGAAATTGCGGGGCTTCTGTCCTGCCCTTTTTGATTAGTGTTGCAGGATCATCCAATCTCTTGAGGGTGAGGGCATACAGAGACTTCAGTTTCAAGCTTCATCTGAAAGAAGACAACTCTGACAGTGCAGCACTTGCCATCCCCCTCCCCAATATATATGTATTAATGTGTGTGTGTGTGTGAGTGCTGACCTGCACCCTGCTGATATTTGCTGTTACATGTCTGGGAAAGTTATATTTTTAAAACTAAAGACATAATTGAAACGAAGCACTCACCCATCTTAGTGCCCTTCTTTATCTTGAGAAATAGATGCAACCCTGTCAGTGTGGTTGCTTTTCCCATCCTGACTTGGAATTATGACGTCGTTTTCACTGCTGTAGGATCAAAATCCAGGAACTCCCTTACGCCAATGAGAGTGTTCCTACATACCAGGACTGCAGAGGTTCAAGAAAATGGCTCACTATCTTCTCCAGGGCATATTATGGATGCTCAGTAGATGCTGTCCAAAACATGCAATGCCCTCATTCCAAGGAATCAAGAAAATCACTATAGAAAGAGAAGGAACCCCAGTGAGAGAGGGATCTGAGAACACTGGGAATGTTGGCTCTGACGTATGAATGTTTCTAGCATTTTTTAGTGAGGCTGTGATCGGTGCAGGTTGCAGTGTGATCAACTTGTTCAGTGTCAGTGGTTTATTTCCTTTTGCCACAATATAGGTCCTTCGCATGATGGTGGGAGTCAACATTTCCGACGAGCAATTGGGCAGCATTGCAGACAGAACCATTCAAGAGGCAGACCAGGATGGTGACCTTTCTATCTCTTTCACTGAGTTTCAGAAGGTATGAAGGCAGCACCATACTCTCACTTGAGACTCTGCTGTCTGCTTCTGTCCAGGGCATTGAACTGTGACAGACCCACATGTACTGTAGCCCGGTGTTATACTGTGACAGTCTTATTGTGCACTGACATTTTGGAGTTGCTCTGTTTCCTGCATTACTCTTGGCTCCCTGCCTGTCCTGTTTTTGTCTCTGCTCGCTATTTGTTGAGTCTGTTCTGCATCTCCCACCCCCTACCACCCTTTCTTTTCTATCTAACAAATTTACTTTTCTCATTCTTTCCCATCAGGTGTTGGAGAAGGTTGATGTCGAGCAGAAGATGAGCATCCGATTCCTTCACTGAAGTCTACACTTTGAATGAGCAGACGAGATCTCCACCCAGTGACTCTGTCTGCCTCTGACTATATCGACATATTAGCTGACTATGTAGAAAAGTTTATCAATTGCACAGGAGAGTGCCAGTCATTCCATAGATTCCCCATTACTCAGCAGCCGTGCAAGTCGTTACTTCTTGCGGTTAGTTCTGAGTCCCACCAGAAAGCTGTGCTCTACATTTCACCTGATGATCCCAGGTACAACTGAACAGCCACCCATTGGACAGAGCAGACTAATCAGCCTTGCTGGTGGGGCAGTGCTACACACTCAGGTGATGGTTCACAGAGGAAACCAGTCTTGCCTGAGGGCTTCATAGTTGTCACGGACTGCACTGTTCTGGTGCTCTTTGAAATGGACTGCTGCCCCAATCAAACTGCAATATTGAGGGGATGTTGAATCAGGTTATTTTAATTGAATTTGTAGGTTTTTGTGATTGGAGTTATTGATTATAGGGTATTTATTAATTCAGTGTTGTATAAATTGTGGTTTTCATGATATTTGCTACTACAGGTCCTTCAGTGCCAGTTCTTCTAATTTGTCTGTTCTGCTTGTTGTGTTTTAGTCCCCATCTCTCCAAACCCCTTCAAGGAGAAGAATGATTGCCTTTGATTTTTGTGATAAAACACTATTTTCCCCGTGGTTTTTCTGTGGGACCAGGCTTGATGTGTAGGGGTGAGGGTTGAAATTTTGTGCCTGCAGCCCTCTCCTAATGGTGAGGGTGGTAGGCTGTGATGTTAATCTCACTGGTTACTAGTGAATTTCCCTCCGTGCTTCCTGGTTGTGAATCCTAATGGGAAACTTGTAAATTCATGTTTTTACTTTATCCTGTCAATGCAGAAAAATTTCTGTCACCCTCTCTCTTTGTTACTTAGCTGATTCACCAGTTAAAGGTGTCAGTTTGCTTCTGATAAATCAGTTCCTTCGTGTAACTTGAGATTTCTAATGATGCTGTGATACCTTTGGGAATTTCACTGAGAGCCGCTTAACAGTAGGGTACAGACAACATGTGAGTTTAAGACTTTTTTCTAAACTTCAGTATTGCTCCATGTGATGTGACTGGAAAGCGTCCTCAGTGCCTTTTCTGTATGGACGGGCATCTAGATACTGTATTTGTAACTACTGTTATTTTTCAGTATTTATAACTAGCTTTTGCTGTCGTTTCTACTAGTTGTGATTATCCTAATAGGTGAAGCTCTGTCGCAGTAACATTCCAACAGTTTATTCTCGTGATTCACATCCTAGCACGTTGGAAGGAAGAGCCAAAACAAATCCAGTATTTTGGAGATTAAATCAGTTGCTATTGGTTTCATAGAGAGAGAAGAACAGGACATTATGCTGTCTGGAAAAGTGTTCAACTAATTCTCAAGCTCACTTGTTCTAAGAAGCGCTATGTATGTGCCAGGGCTTTGGTGCAAAATTGCAGGGTTCTGACCAGATCAAGTACACCTTCATATACTAGAGGAGTATAGTGAGCTTGAAGGCTCTTTGGTGCTGTTAGAAAGCAGCCCCTGTTTCTATGTGCCATTCAGATTGATTTTTTTTAAAGGCTGCATGTTTCCTTCATAGACTGTCACAATGATTGCCATAGGCTAAGATCCTGTTGAAGTCCAAGCCTTTTGCTTATTTGTCTTTATTTGGGTACCTTTAGGTGTCTATTCTTGTCAAATGGCATGGGAGAACAATGCATGCTTCAGCAAAGGCCTGAAGATAGACTGCCTGAGTTCCTCCCTTTCTCAACCCCCCCCCCACCCGTAAATGGGATAATGGTACCAAAGTTTTCTCTCTCAGACTGAGAACAGCCATCAGTGCTGCTCTGATTGAACTAAGCTGAATGCAACACAAATCTGTTGAATGCCTGTGGCTGGCTCGCTGATACTATATCGAGTTTTATTGTCCTTCTCTGAACTGAGCCTTCACCTTCCCTATGAGAAGAGTATCTGTATGTTTCATAAATAAAACATTTAACCATCCTTCATTTTTGTGTCTCATTTTGTGATGAATTAACATTAGGCTTGAATGGCAGCTAATTTTTTTTTATAAAAGCAGGAAGTGCTGGAGAAACTCAGCAGGTCCGCAATATTGCTGGAGAGAGAAACAGATGACGTTTCAAATTCAGTCTGACTTCTTCACAAAGTTAACGTTTTGAGTCCAGTACGACTTGAGAGTCATACTGAACTCAACTGGATGCTGCCAGACCTGCTGAGTTTCTCCTGTAATTTCTATTTTTGTTTCAGATTTCTAGCATCTGAAGTATTTTATTTTGATTTTCAGCTGGATTTTTTTTTCAGAGGAATGCCTTCAGTGTGGTGTTTGAATCATACAGACCTGTACTAAGGCTGAAAGCTTTGCTGAGCTGCTCAGCTCACCTCAGATTCTGAGTGCACTGTAGTTCAATAATAATTTCCTTAAGGTTTCTATCCTCCATACTAAGATATCTAGGTCACTTATCAGTATTTTAAAATGAGATGTCAAGTTAGCAGTCTTAACTGGCCACAATGTTTTAATGGAGGAAATGACTTTTATCCAAAACAGTTGGGACTTTTCTGGTTTGACTTTCAAATTAAATTTGACATGCTGGCTAAAGCAGTGTCAAATCTTTCAAGGGTCTCTTCAAATATTGAGCCAAAGATGACCAAATCATTCAGATACATGGATAGGGTTATGGACCAAAGTGGGACTAGTTCAGTTTAGGAAACCTGATTGGCATGGATGAGTTGTGCCAAAGGGTCTCTTTCCGTGCTGTATGATTCTATATTAGAAATGAATACTTAGCCATGGAGGGGAGAGATGAGAAGACCATGTTTTTGAGACTGAGATTTTGATAGACAAAAGATTTAGGCAGACCAGCTGCAAGGAAACAGGAGACTTCCGATGTGGGATGAATAGGCCTCAAATATGGAAACGTAACATTTGAATAGACCAAGGCTCAATGAGATTGCAGAGCTTTCAAAGTCATGAACTATTACAATCCCTAAGTGGAAACAAAAACAAAATAACCCAATCAGAGATAGTAGGAACTGCAGATGCTGGAGAATCCGAGACAACAAGGTGCAGGGCTGGATGAACACGGCAGGCCAAGCAGCATCATAGGAGCAGAGAGGCTGACGTTTCGGGCC